AATGACGAGCACTAAGTATAGAGTAGGTGCTTCTATATTTAGTGTTAGAAGATAAACATAAATATAAATCAGTTTCGACCCTGCTCTGTAAGCCTTACAGCTTGAGCGTTCTACAGCTTCTAAAGAATCAGTAATATTGATATTAGCCTCTTTGAGACTCGGTGTTAATACCGATAGGCACAAGCCTACGAGCTAGCCTAGAGGGTTAAACACCCTAAGACGTAGAAGCTCTCTGAGCTTGTCTTCCTCTGCACATAGTGCATACGTAGCTTTGCTACAGTGGTATGAATGCTTCTTCTGCACATAGTGCATAAGTAGCATAGATACAGTAGCTCGGCTACAGATGGGGCCATCACAATTCTCCCGACACTCGTATGAGTGTCTTCTCACGGCCCAGAAGCTTACTCGATGGTGCGTCATATAGCTTGGGGAGACTCTTCAGCTTGAGATCTGTGTCATTAAGAGCATGCATTTTCAAGAAGTCACAAGGCAACAGCTGATGCCATAACAGGCCACCACTGTATCATAAGCGACTTAGCTTCGCTTCAGGTGCGACGGAAGGCTAACCTGCGTCCGCAAAATTGATCTAACAGCAGGCAAACTGTTCGTCCTGATTTTAGTTCTACTGCGTCTCGGAGGCCAAAGAAATTGCTCATAGCAGACCTTTCATGGCTGCTAATTCTGACGACTCAGCGTGTGCCTTAGCACAAGACAGACTCATTTGGTTTCTTGTCTTGAACTCGGGTCTGCGCGATAATGCGTCAGGCGAGGTGGCGTACATTATTGTTTGAATAATATTTTTTTCGAGTCGAATACAAGCCGGGTCACTTCAATGTCTTGGCTTAGGCGAGTTGTGCGGGGATTTATTGCGGCCCGCAGTGATGCGTGATCCGTGTAAACCACAAACGGTTCAATGAGCAACAGGTGCACTCGAAATTTGACAGGAATATACAAAAAATTGAGAGTAGCTCCTTTCATGCACAAGGTAATTTAGTTTCACAGCTTCTAATATCCGAAACTCTACAAGATGACACGGTAATTGATGTCGTCATCATTCGGTTGAGTGCGATGCCCATTGCAAAATTTCTTGCATCGCAGAAAACACTCCACGATTGGTGCCTCTACAGGATATTGCTTCACTGATGTGGGCGTATTACTTTCTCCTTGCGCTGACCCATTCTGCAGCCTTTTTAAGGAGGCCAGACAGTGGCTTCGCTTGCTCTGCATAATTCTTGCTGTAACTCGTGAAAGTAATGAGAGAGCCCAACGAATTGACGCAATCCTTTGCATGACGTAATACTGATCACATTGATAGATTTACCGTCTTTGAGTCTGCTCGTACCCCGTGATTGCCCGCGATACTGAGGCAAAGTCGAAAAGATGAGACCGCTGGTGTAGTAAACATATTATGTGTGGACCACACACTGACCGCGAATTAGATCCGGAACGCGATATAGATCAATATGTGTATCGCTATCCGAGGTGGATCGTTCTCATCACTATGAAGACCACACACTGACCGCGATCCATATCTGGATTGCGATATAAATCGATATTTGATCCCTATCACTATGTCGATTGCTATCCTTGGGTGATCGCTATCACTTTTGGGACCACACACACACTGACCGCGAACCAGTTTCAAATCGCAACATAGATCGATAGGTGATCGCTATTACTATGTGGATCGCTATCACTATGTGGATCGCTATCACTATGTGGATCGCTATCACTATGTGATCGTTTCATGAATACATATGTGTTTTCGCAGTTCTTTGAGTGTTTTTCTCAGATTAGTGACTGGATCATCTTTATTAAGGTTGTGCATAATAATATATAACATAATAGTTTCTACAGGTTCTGTCACAATTGCATATGCGTAATAGTGACACATGAACGTTAAGGTTCCATGACCACACAAAGCTTAGGTCAAACCATGTTTGCACTCTCTCGATTTACGTGTGGCTCACCCGCGGCCTCTTTACTCCCACTAGCACGCTATATCTCGTACATTGCTCTTCCTCGTGTATCAGCTGACAAAAGCTACCGCTTCGGGCTCAAGTTGGACGAATTAAAGGCGCAGGATGAGGACGAGGAGGCAGCGCTTGCGCAGCTTAAGGCTGTACTGAGTCTGCGCAATGCGTCACAGCAAGAGCTGAATAAGGCACAAGTAGCCACAGCCATCGAGACATTTCAGCGTTTTCCGGGTGATACAGGATCAAGTGAAGTTCAAATTGCCGTGCTTACGCAGAAGATTCTACACAGCACGGCACACGCGCAGAACCACAAGAAAGATCACCATTCACGACGAGGTCTAATTGCTATGGTGGAGAAGCGGCGAAAGCTTCTTAAATATTTGCGCCGCAAGGATCTGCACAAGTACCGTAATGTGGTAGCAGCGCTGGGTCTTCGCTTCACGTAAGTACGAGAGGGCACAAGGTAGAAGAAAGGAACAGAAGAGAACGCCACTTCTTGGAATTATTGTTGGAGCGCTACAGTTGTTTTTTTGCCACGAGGAACTAGGCCTCGACCTTGTATCGTTACTTCATCGTCTCCTTTCTTCAGCTTCAAAGCTCCATTTAGATTTAGAATATAATGCTGACGCAGTCTGCGAAGGTCACGCTTGGCGATGACAGCGCTCTTCTGGATTGCATGCAACATTTGCAAGCGAGCCCGTCTCCAGTCAAATGCCGCTCATCAAGTTGCGACGATCGGCAACATCAACCCTATCTTGTCATGGCACGCGGAACGTTAGGGAATACGTTCCTGCCTGACGCCAGCTACTACTTCCTAAGCACTTTGTCCCGCCGATGGTTGTAACATGGAGCACAGACAAAGAACGATAGAATTATTACGCCGCACAACGCACGTATCTCTGGTAGTGGTGGCTTTATGGTATGAATAATATCGGCATTCCGTGCCCACTCTACTTCGTTGACAACTTTGTTTTGCCAAGATATCGGCCGTAACTATGGCGCTACTTATGAGCCATAACCTCAAACTTGTCCCCAACTTCGTCTAAAACGATGCCGTGCCCGAGTCACTGATCAATAATCATTCGCTAACGTACTGCTTCCACAACTTTTCTTCTGCCACGATCGTGCCAACCTTTTATCCATCCACTTTCGGACATTCTTATTTCATTCACATACAATAACGCAACGTAAGACCGTATCTGTGTATTTTACCTACTCAATCTTCTTCGCAACCACAAGGTCTTTATCACCATGGTGCAGCTTGGCAAATTCAACAGCTTTTCTAGCTGCATCCAATATTGGGCGCTTCGGATCATTGCAAGCTACCAACATTTCGCCAACAAAGCGTTACCTTAGCCAATAGAGATAGCTTTGAGTCTTCTAAGAATTTTTGCCTTCATGTGTTGTTGGCTTGGCGAAACAAGAGAATGCCAACGAACCTCTACAGCGAATTAACGTGAGAAAACTGCTAAACCACTTCAACATCCGCGAAAATACACGCGGCCAACGTCAAATTTTTTCAGCACTTACAACAGATAAGGGTCACATGGCTACGTGTCGGGGCTCAGATATGACTCTTTGCCGGTCACTACGATGACGGTATGACAGTGCTCCACGTTTTTGTCCATAAAAAGAATAGCCCGCTGCGTGACAACCATAACACCCATTCAACCGTACTCCTTACTTTGATGCTGTGTACAGTGCCAAAGAGTTTCTACTAAGGACCATCACGTGTCATGAGAGCTCCGTACAGGTTTGGTCGGCGATCGCGCATAAGCCCCCAGCTAGCTCGTCGCACATGGAACTTCTCAAGGTCGAAGCTTTCCACAAGCACACCTTCGGATTCCCGATCGGCGATTTTAAGCTATCAATATTCAACAGACACCAATTACATTATCGAAACACATTCATGATGGTTCCAAATGTATGAGTATGAACGTACCATCTCGCCCGTTTGGCCGGTAATAAAGGAGGATCCGACAAACGTGACCTGAATGCTGTCCACTATCTCAGCTCCAACGCGATTGGAGCATATAACAGGCACCATACTTGCCGCTGCGTGGCCCTGCATCACTCGTTGCCACTGATCACGCGGGTCAAAGTTTGGATCATACTGGTTGCTACCCATGGCACTTGGGTACAGCAGTAGCTCGGCTCCTTGCACCACCAAACTGCGTGCCACTTCTGGATACCACTGATCCGATCCAATCGCTACTCCAATCTTACCGTAACGCTGTGTCACCGAGAAAAGCAAAACTTAGCTTTACATACCAAAAAAATCTCTACATTTTATCTGATACGCACTGTATCCCACACTTTAAACGAGTCATCCGAGGGTGTGAAGTAGTATTTTTCATTGTATCCTAGTCGATCTAATTTCATACAACCACCGGTCACAATCCGACTCGTTACAGACATAACTTCACTCAAACACATCACTGTTTATTGCGCAACGTACCACCAATATGAAATTTGCGTGTAACACCAAGAACCGTTCCGTCTGCGTCAATGATAGCGCACGAATTGTAGTACGAATTTCTATATTTCTCAAAGAAGCTAATAGGAATGACAACATGAAGTTCCTGAGCTAGCAAAGCCATACCCTGCACCAAAGCTGACTCTTTAAGTGTCGTAGCCAATTCAAAATTGCCAGCATTGAGCTCAATGGGAAAGTATGCAAACTGAAATAATTCTTGCAGCAAAATGATCTGAGCACCACGAGAACTAGCGATACGCACAAGAGACTCGGCTTTCTTAATATTCTCCTCAGGTTTTCCGCAGCTCATTTGCGTTGCTGCAACTGTCATTATCTGCAATAAGAATGCACTGAATTAGTGAGGAAGAATTGCAAAAAGCGGATGTGTGGAGTATTTTTACGCGCTCAACAGCGGTGGACAGCGCCTTCAAGTTGGAGACGGCAACGGTTGCAGAATTTGAGCCTAATGAACTTGTGGACGAGCCTACACGGGCAGTGGACGTGTGCTGCATCGCGAGACAAAAGAGAAAATTACACGCGAAATAGCCGAATGAGACGTGAGAGATTGCGTCCTTTTTGATTCCACAACGTCGCGAAGATCAAATCTCAGTGCTTCGAAAGTAGTTTATTATTCTCTCGATTATAAGGTTCTGTATGGTAAGGACTGTTAAAACTAACTAATAAAAATTATGCTGACTACACTGGTGAACAACTTCACTCGCAAGTTAATAATGATGTCAATCTCGTAACACTTATCATTTGACCTGACCATGTATCTCTGTCGACCTATGTGTAATAAAACACAGTGGTGCATTATAAGATAAAGCACGATAGCAATTCGTTTTACTAGCCACGACAGCGCTTTTTCTAGCAAATAACACCAAAGTACTTTGTACTTCGTCTATAACTGTGGCCACTGCACGACAATCTCATCAGCTACGTAGTAAAGAAGCTTACCAGTGAGAGACAAATGCGTTACACGCGCGAAACTCTCGCAAAAAATGATCTTCGAGTCCGTTTGCACGCCAAAGACTCGGAACAGCAGCCCGCCGCGCAAATGGAGATACAAGTGCCTAGACGTAGCAATAAAACAGCCATTCGTCACACACAATGGTCAATGGTACACATCAACTCATGATTAAGATAGCTCCTACGTACCTGGACCATTGCACAGTATTAGCTGTGGACGACGATTGTAGACCAAATGTAAACATGATATAAATGATTGCAACGTTCTCCATACTGAAGAGAACCACAATTGTCCAACCTAAATGACCCATATCCATTTCAATTCATATCCGATTCCCTTGTTCCTAACCGTTTGTACGCATTGCATGATTCACCAGCCTCTCGACTACGAGGAATAGTTGCAAACGAATCAATTTCTGTGGGTTTCCAGTCCAACTCGGTCTTGACTTGACTAGATTTGTCCGTCTCTGCCACTACAAAAGTAAAAGGAGTGTACACGTCTCGCTTGAGTCTCTCTATGAGCTTCAGCAGCTCCGTCGTGTGACCCCCTGAGCCCAAAACCGCCATAACGCGAACATGACGTCGTGTAACCTTGCCAATTTTGCTATTTAGTGCACTCTGGTAGTGAAAAGAAGGCTTCAAGTAGGCAGACAAGGTCACCTTTATGCGCAGCGGGATAACCACTTGCCATACACGAACAAGCAGCAGTATGATTGCTACAAGCAGCATCTTAAGCTACAAGAGCAGTTCAAACAGGAGGTGCATGATAGTTCATCAAGGTTATGGTAATTTTATTGTCTGGTTGATACAATTTATTGCTGGGAAGTATGTCCAGCTTTAACCTGAGGTTACTTGCACTAAGTGCCTTCTCCACTGATTCACTATGTGTTTTTATTACTCAAGTTTATTTGTGTAACAATTATTCAAGCAAAGAAAAAATTTGGCGCTATGTGGTCGTGCTCTAAAAGATAACAAGAGTCTGCCATTGGCTAAGAATCGACAGAAACAAACGCATGGTGTTGGAGTGGAGTAGTTATAGCGGACACTCGCTTCCGCAGCTGCCGGGTGATTTGTGTGGTTACACTAAGTTCTAGATGGTTCTTAGCTTGGTTAGCGCAGGATTCAGCAAGATATCATTTCTAGATTGATAAAGCCACTGACAAGGCCCCTGGCGGGGTGCGAAACGCGTCTGACCCGCGTTTAACATAGAAGTCTTTAACCATGCTTTCCCTTTTTCCTACACATATTATAAATCATAAGCTGAGGAAAACAAGATTCTAAAGGCGTGTGAGCTGGAGCGCCGCTATAGCACTGCATCATTTAGAGCCGTTAGACGTCGTGGCACTTGTGCAGTAGAAGTAGGAAGTAAAAATACAATATATTCAGCGTTAATTACCCTTCGTTGTTAACCCTACATATGCAGTTTGATGACCAGCACTGCAACGTAACCTAGTCAAGGTACACCTGGCACACATCCAGCGTGCCCATCACCATGTGTCATCCCTGGTCCCATATGACGTCCATATGTCTTCGTCTCGCCTAACATCTCTGATTGAACTTCGACAAATAACGATCTTCTTCCCCAGTCCCATATGTCAAGATGTCACGTCTTGGTCCACCTGTCAACTTGCTAGCCAATCAGGAGAGGATGTCCCCTGTCATGGGTCTTGCAGTCTTCACTTCGAGCTTCCATGACCTGTCCAAAACCATATCTTATAGCACTCCTCCTCAACATCAGCCTGAGTCACCTTCCAGTTGAACATGTCTCGTAGTCCTTCCATCCTTGAGATGGGCAACAACTCCGTGAGAATGTTCGCGATCATGCTCTCCGACTTTACAAATCTTGGTATCACAGTTCCTTCACGTGCGTGATGGCAGATAAACTTGCGATATGCTTCACGTTTCAGATGCGCTTTTCTGCTTTTAACTGCTTGATCGCCGCTTGATTATCCACCCACATAGGCATCGGCTTGCACACTTAAAACTTCAACTCGGTCACCAGCTCTATCACGCCAAATGTCTCACGAACTGCTCGAGAGACGGACATGAACTCCGCCTCCATCGTGCTTATTGACATTCCTGACTATTTCCTTCATGACCAAAATACAACAGCACGATCCATAGCAAGCTGACACCCAAACACCAACTTACGGTCGGCCTTGTCAGCAGCTAAATGCGTCGCTCCACATTTAACCTTTATCTCATCCGTAGTCCTCCCGACGCCATTAATGTGCACTTTCCAGCTCTTGGACCCCTTTAAATATCGGACGATACGCTTCGCTGTCTTCCAGTCCTGGACGGTTGGTTTGTGCGTTTGGCGCGTAGCCTTGTACACCGCAAATCAAATGTTGGGGCAGGTGCACTTTCCAATCCAGCGTAAGCTCCCGACCATAACTGACACGAGCCCAAATTTGTTTCACCACTTGCACCGCTTGCAGTTAAGAAGCCCGAGTCCTCCATGTCAACCTCGTTGCATTCATCCCCGATAGGAGTCCTTACACTATTTGCGTACTCCAACTTAAATTCCCTTATAATTACGTCAATCATCACTTCTTGGCCCAAGACATATCCATGGGTGTCATCCAACGAGACCCAAAGTTCAAAACTTCTTCACGACGCCCAGGTCTTTAATCGATTGCGTCTTCAATTCAGCGAAGAAAGCATCAACTGCACATTTCTTTGTACCAGTGACCAAAAGATCATCCACGTACACTCTTACCACGGTCCAAGTATCACCTTCCTACTTGTAGTAAAAGCACATATCCATTTTACACTGCTTGAAACCCTCCTAGCTTCACTTTGAAAGCAGAAGCTTACTCCAAAGTCGTCCAGCTTGTTTTAAACCGTAGAGCGGTTTTCTTCAAAGTAGAGCAACTTCCCTGAAAGACTTCACACCAACACCTTCGAGCTCTCTTTCCGTAACTTGCATTCCCTTTGGCATTTTCATGCCGATATCCATGTGCCCTTCCTTATCTGCTTCCACATGAGCATTCGGCACGTTTTATTTTTCTGGAGAGCACCAAAATCAACTTGACGGTCACCAAACCCATCAATTCCGCAAATGTCAGATTGTCGTCGACACCCAAAACTGGTTCGTTTCCGCACACGACCAACCGAGCCTTTAACGCTCGATGTTTCCGTTTTCATCCGTCTTGGTATTGTAGGCCCACTTGTTGTGCAACACGTGTGCGCCTTTTGGTGACACGGCCGTCTGCCACACATCGTTCGCCTTCAAGGCATCCAGCCATGACCACCAGCCATCGGTTACGTTACTTGCCTTTTATTGATTCGCCATAATATCTCGGATCTTGCGCGATGAATAGATTCACGATGTCACGGTTTACGCCGAAGTGTCGTCCTTAATTGGTTGACACATGGTCGTCGACCTTGCACCATGACGCTCTCTGGCCCAGATAATCGTTCTACCCTTGCGGACCTTCTTTGCACGCTTTGCACCACCTTGATGCACTTCGTCATTAGCTTGATAATTACAACGTGGCTCCTCCTAAAGGTGTACTTTATCAGGGTATGTCTTCCTTTCATTCTGGTTATCCTGTGGTGCTTCAGCGTTTTAAATGTATTGGGTCACCATAAACAACTTGTCCGCTGGGATGCACACCTTGTACCCCTATGTTTCGCTGTCCCGCCCGATGATTTGCCTGCCTTCCTTCGCTCCCCAAGTGACTTGTTCGGATCTATATGCGCAGCGCATATTGACCCAAAAATATGATGTCTTTCAATACGGGAGCCTTTTTGTCAAATCTCCATGGGAGATACACCTCCAGGATTGGACTTGGTCTTGCTTTGGTTTAGAATATACGAGGCATATTCTGTGGCATCACCTCAAATAGACAGCGACAGGTTGGATGCAACAATCATACTGCGCACCATGTTCACGATGGTTCTGTGCAACCATCAGCCTTGCCGTTGCTTGCTTGGTTTCTCGCTTCACTCACTCGACGCGAAATGCCTTCCACTGAGCAAAAAAGGTCTAGCGTCTTGTATTCACCACCACCATCTGTGCGTAAGACGTGAATCTTGCAATTGAATTCACGCTCTAAGGTTTCCATAAAGAGCTTAAATTTCAATGCGGCTGCATCTTTGAACTTGGCCAAAACACTTAGCAGTAGCTTGATCGGTGATCGATAAAGTTAATCATGTATTGATTTCCCAAACGGTCTCGGGGGGCCATGGGACCCTTGAGATCCGAACAGATGACGCACCCGACACGTGAATTGGCGAATTTGTTGTCCGTGTCTTTCTTCTACTGAATCCCTTAGTCTGCTTTCTCTTTTCACAGGCCAGACACTTTCGACGTGTCGTATCAGTCAGTTGTATGCCTGATTCTGGGTCTTTGGCCATCTTCATGTCGTGTCAAAGCAAAGGTGTCCTAGATGCCGATGAAAGTTAATCAAGGTACCGCACTGAACATCCGAATCGGATTCTTATTGAGTTAAACCGAAGCCGTCATCATTTTCTCTTGCGGTGGCTTGGGATTACAAATGCTGTGACTCGTCACAGCAACAGTTAAAACGTTGTTGCAACTTTTCACGTCCATGATGAGCGTACCACCCACACCGGAGGACAACACGCGCCTCCTTCCTCGATATTCGAGAACGCAACCCTTGCCTCGAGCAATCCATAGGAAAGGATATTTCCCTCGAGGTTTTCCGCGTAGTGAACATTGAGACTCCGAGTGCGACGACCTGGATGCCCACCGTACCTTGAAAGGTGATCCGCAGCGCACTTCTATCAGTTCCTGCGGTGTGACACTCACTGCTGCGAGCAATCGAATCGGTGAGCATACTAGAGTCACTGATTAAGTGTCTGCTCGAGACGCTGTCAAGTATCCATTGAACGGGCGAGTTACTTGTACCATGGTCAACCGCGAAGACGAAATTCGCCCAAGGGTTTTTACTTTATTAGCTTGCATCGCAACCAAATGTCCGAATTCTTCACATTTTTAATATTTCCATGTGTCGATTCGTAATTGCGTCAATCTTTGTTTAGTCTTGTCTTTGAACTCCTTCACGCCTCGAAAGTATTCACCACATCGCGCCCAAAGTTCCTTGCGTGGGTGTTCACCTCCGTCGATTGGACGAATTGCTCCAATTCCTCTGCTTGCCGCAGGTAGTTGACGCGAAGTGTTCAACCTAAGCAACATCGATGTTTGCATGTGTGGGTAAGCATGATGAACGATATCGTCCAGCACAAGACTGTCTGTAACGGGGTAAGGACCCGTCACGTGACTTACACTAAAGGGTTTACGAGAGGACGTTAAGGAACACGCGTTAATAAAATGCGTGTTTCGTTAATATCAAATTTACCTCTGTTTTTATATTTATAATTTTTATCCTAAGTACGAGTGGTCTTCAATCGTCTGAGAGCCACTCACCACAAAGGTCGCATCCTATTGACTGATACTGAGCCTGATTCCCACTTATCAGCAAATAGGAATATGACATGCTGTACCCGATATAGCGGGTACAGCGATTACCTAATTATGTAATACATGTGCTTAGCTAAGTCTACTTAAGAAGCTGACTGCTGCTGGGTCTTACCTCGGTACACCTCGTTACAACCCCCCCACATAATATAGCTTACACGTTTGTGTGCACAACAAAAATAAAATGAAATAAAAACGCAAAACGATTGCCAACAGAATCGTTTACTCTGATACAGCTATCGCGGCTACCATTAGCACACGAGACGACACCACGTGCAGTAAC